ATATATATATATATATATATATATATTGACTTTTTCTAAACTTATGAATAATTTTAAACATTAATTCTATTCAAAATTTAATTATAAACTTAAAAATGTTTTTATCTTTTTTATCAATATCTTTTACTATTTAAATATCTTTTAATATAATATATATTTACTAACATAAAGATATAAAAAAAAGCATTAGAATTTAAATTTAGTTATTTTAAAAAATAATTAATCATTTACTCTAAGTAAGACGAATTTAACCGCCCATAACATTATGCATCGATTGGGGAAAAGAAAAATATTATGGAAAGAAAGGAATATCGGAGAAAGAAGGAAGAAAAACAATTAAAAAATAAACCATAACGGTTTTTTTATTTATGTAGCATTATTTTTGTTTGACTCGCTCAACCTGAAATTTTCTTTAATTGTGAAATGAATAAGTGATTTAATCAATTCTTGAAAAGGCAATGGTAATATGGATAACTGATCTAACAAAGTCTTTAGTTTAAAAGGCATTCTTTTATAAATATCGTAACCATTTGTATAAAATAAACTTATTGTAATTGAATAAGATTGTTATAAATAATAAACCTTTTTCCGTATTTCATATAACTGTATATTTAACATGTTTATCAATATCACGAAAAGACAAGTTTATGAATATCAGTTCCAGAAAGTTGTACATAAAGCAAGCAATTCAATATTTTTTTTTTATTTGTGCGTCAAGCTACGACTACATTACAATATAATCCTTTGAGGGTTTGATTAGTTTTAATTAAAAGTCATAACAAGCCCAAATATGTTTTAAAATGATTTTTAGTATATTTTGGTAATATAAACGTGAAATGGTACATAATGACTTATTTTCTGTGAGAATTAAAAGTCTGTTTTACGTTTAACTAATAATTGTGTGGTGGCATAGGTCCCAAACAGTGATATAATTAACATTATTACGTGAAAATACATAAACAACATCAATATTTTTAAAATAATCTTTTCAATTTACTTAATATTTTTAAAATTTTAATGATAATATCAACTAATAATAAAGTTAAGAATGAATTAAATTTAAATTTTATTTTTAATTATCGAATAAAAGTTATGTATTAGAATATACTATGACAAAATTTATTGAATTAAATTTAAAGTTTATACACCTAATCAAAATTATGAATTAAATTTTATTTTAACAAAATTTATTATTTATCAAGTCTATTATTTTACATGTTATCAAATTATTAATTAATATTAATTTAAAATGATATAAATTAATAAAGCAATATGTTAAAAGTTTCACGTAAATTAAATAGAGGTAAACATCGTTATGAATTGTTTTCTTAAAAATAAAATATGTTTAAATTCATTTTTTTTATAAAAAAATTATTTTAATTTAAATATGTTTAAAAGTGGTAGAATGGAAGGGATGGTTAGGAGAAAGCGTTTTCTTGAACTGCATGCATTGATTGGACAATGACTTGCTGCTATAAATCCAAATCCAGCAATGCTCAATCAATTAGTCATGGATGTAAAAGAGAAGTCAGATTCAATTAACACTCACAAAACCCAGCTGTTATTAAAATCATTTTGAAATTTAACACACATGCCAACACACCATTCATTATGTTACAAAAATTGACCCTCACTTTAATGAAATCCCTTTGACACGTCCCTGTTCAAAACTCTTCCCACCCATTTTGGCTTCATTTCTTCTCAACACAAACCTCACTAAGGACAATTACCCTTTTAACTTATCTCAACTATCTATTTTATAAATTAACTGTATACTGGGTGTAAAATCATTTTTTATGCTTTTATCATTTACTATTAAATTGGTTTTTTTTTATAAAAATAGCTTTCAAACTCTACTATTAAATAAAACATAATTAACCGGATTTAGTGTATAATTAAAAATAAAAAATTATAAGAGAATTTTTTAAAAAAAAAAGTTTGCACATAAAATGACCTCAAGTTGAATGGTTTATTTATAATTGGTGGATATTGAGACATAAATTTGACAGAATTAGAAGGTGAGTTAAGCACAATCTAGTCACCAATTAGATGAGGAAGAAATAGGGACTTTAATCCAAAAAGAAACATAAAGCGATGTCAAAAGACGAAGGCACCCTTTCACACACTATACTTTCCAGTTTCAAAGAACAGAGTGTGGGTTCTGCTGACGCTTGAAGACAGTGAGGGGAAAAAATAACTGAGAAATTCTAGAAACCTCTCTTCAGAGAGTCCGTGAATAAATCAATTGTTCAAAATCAATTTCACAAAGTTTGATCACTTTTGCATTGACCTTCAACTTTTCTTCTTCTCTCCGGTTATTCGCTCGCAATGAATCCACAATCACCGGACCCTCAGCTTCCGACTTTCTCCCCACGGTTCGCGCTCGTGACCGGTTCGCAGCGGAAAATCGCGATCGCGGTGGATCTGAGCGACGAGAGTGCTTACGCGGTGCGGTGGGCGGTGCAGAACTACCTCCGACCGGGCGACGGGGTGATCCTTCTGCACGTGCGTCCCACGAGCGTCCTGTATGGCGCGGACTGGGGCTCGGTGGATCTGAGTGTGGCGGAGGAGGGCGGCGATGAGGAGTCGCGGCAGAAGCTGGAGGACGACTTCGACAACTTTACGTCGACGAAGGCTAGCGACGTGGCGCAGCCGCTGGTGGAGGCGCAGATACCGTTCAAGATCCACATTGTGAAGGACCACGACATGAAGGAGAGGTTGTGTTTGGAAGTGGAGCGCCTCGGGCTCAGCGCCGTCATCATGGGAAGCCGCGGCTTCGGCGCGTCCAAGCGAGCCGCCAAAGGAAGGCTCGGCAGTGTCAGCGATTACTGCGTGCACCATTGCGTGTGTCCCGTTGTGGTCGTGCGTTACCCCGAGGAGAACGACAACGGTAGTAGCGGCAACGGTAACGGCGGTGATGTTCTGGTTGGGGAACAGGTGGAGCTTCCACCTGTGCCTGAGGAGGAGCATGAGGTGTATCATGATGCTTCCGATGAGCACAGAGGTTTGGGTTTCACCCTGTTATAATTTTATTTCACAGTAACCATCATAATTTCGGTATTATGACTTAACATTGCATAGTGTATAGTTGGTTTGACTAATCATCTTACTCGTGTAGCATTGGTAACAGAGAGAATTGAGTATTGGATACTACTTACATATGCATGCTACTTTCTTCAGTCAAGTTTGGTATTTGTCTAAGTTATCGTATTGACTAGAGATTAGTGAACGATGTCAAAAGTATCTATGATATTATGATTATGATTGAGTGATATTCTTCATAATAACTACTTGTCTGAGGAGAAAATAAGAAGATAAAATTATGTGAGTTTCTCGGATAAACTAAGATCAAATTTGTCAATTTTGTAGGAGCATGAAATTTAACTTATCCAACCATACATTTATAAAAGAAGTTCAATTCATTTAGTTTTTTTTTTTGGCCCTTATAAATACTTGTGGAAAAATTATCAATCCAGGACTCATGTTTAGGTTCTATTTTCCACGGAGCTCCCTGTCAAGGTTTTTTCTTGATACCCACACACACGTTACAAACATGAGAAACCTGGTCCATTTGTTTAAAAACATGGAAGCCATAACTACTAACTTCTTAAATGTGGGAAACCGTGACCCAATTTTGTAATCAAAACATTGTAACTTCCGTGCTGAAGCAATAAAGGAGGAAATCTGAAACATATATCAGAGAACTGGCTTGCTGGTTGACACAACAGCATAAATAATAGAAAAGTCTTGTATGACATTTAAAACCATTCCTTATCCAAATTTAAAGTAATTTGGGTAATACGAAGATTCAACAACTGTGTGAGTAATCCATATGTAAGGTTTTTAACCTAGACCATGAACAGTAGGAACCAAACATGGTTAAAATGACATGTGCAACAACTAAATAGAATCCAAAATTATGTGTAAAGGTTAAAAGGAAATGTTTTACTGAAAGTTTTTGTAACTGTAGGAACTAAATTAGTAATTAAGCCAAGCTGTAAAAGTATATTGTTACTACTGAATCTGTGCTGCAATAACATTGATGATACTTGTGCTTCAAAAGCATGGAAGTATTTGTAATGGGCCAGATTGTTATCATCAACTTTTGAAGTTAAGTTTTGTATGCAGTTAGTTTACTCAAATTTGAATGGTTTGATTCATTGTGTGGAATGTCAATGATGATATTTGACACTAAATATATTTACCTAAGGCTCAATCCAATTCCTATCACTTGTTATGTGTTGCATTTAACCATTTATGTTGAAAACATATCCTTCAGGCTTATAATCCTGCTCACCTATTCTCTTATGTATGAGTACTACAATTCAATTCTTCAAGTTAAATGCTGAAGGTACTAAACCAATCCGAGCATGTTCGGACTGGATTTTACAACTATCCATCATATGCTACCCACTTTTCCCACAATGCTTTGCAATGGGGAGATAACTTCCCAGGACCTCTAGGCCTAGGGATCACTCATAGGCTGGCATACCCTATTAGAAGGGGTAAATTTCACCAGTACACACTAAGGCTAATGTTGGATTTGAGAGGTTTTAAAGGAAAGAGTTATTAAAGTAATTCCTTGGCAAAAGGAAATAACAAACCAAAATATGGGTATTTATCTTTTCAATATAGCTTGTTTTTGTCAAGGAGGCTACCTAGTCCTTTTTTAGTTCTAGATTATCAAACTTGCTGTTGAAATTATTAAAAAAATTCAATACTTTTTGCTGTTTGGAGACCATCAAATAATGAAATAACCTAAACCTTGTAGGATTTCACCTATTACTTCAGTTGGGAGTATTTTATTACTAGTTGATTAGTTTTATTTTCTTATTTAACCTGCTTATTTTTGGTGTATGAACAGATGCATAACGAGAGTATAGAGCAATGTCTATATCCCTACTAACTTCAGGTAATACATGAATGTCATAGCAATTTATCAATTACCATTTTATCCTTATTTAAGTTTGAATACAAGCAGTAATTGATTCCCATTGGATTAAATCCTATATTAAATGAATAGTAACACCTATTGATAACTGTTACTTTCTGATGTGCACTTTTACTGGGGTACCGGACGAGGGGGAAGTGATGGGAGTGTATTCCAGTTCTTTTTTTCTTTCTTCTCTTTCTACATTATCTTCCAAAAATATAAATTAGTTAGGATATGATGAAAATCACAACCCCAATGTTATACAAGACTATAAGTTCATTAACTCTGAATCAGGTTTTCTTTACCACCAAAATAGCAATTCAGTCTATAATTGACACATTGGTCCTAACCTAAGAAAAGGCAAATTTAGTTGTTGACTTCAATAATTACCGCAATTTAGTCTTGAATTTGGAACTATAAGTTATTTTAGTGTTCCATTTTAACAACTATCAGGCATTTCTTTCTTGTTCAATTTAGATTCTAACATTGGAACCAAATGTGATGTAATGATAAAATTAACCAATGATGCAATTTCATACTATTTGTATGATTTTTATTCACTGACAGCAATAAGGATTTCATTTATGAAATTTGCACACCATATATAATGTATTACCTTGTGAAGCCGCTTTGAGTTTCGTTCGCCACCCCAGCATATTCACTCAAATTAGCCGCCATTGATTTTTTTTTTTCTGCTTTCAGCCAGGCTTGTGTCATATGAAGAAGAATTTATTGAACTTGAAAAGTATCTTCTTTGGTTGAACAAACTATACACTGTAAATTAGATATTTGGTTGGTTAGCATGTGTATGTTATTGTACAAGTTTGTTATTACGTTGCTTCAATACCCATTGGCGCAGGGTGTGTATTGGTATTTTTCTACATTACATTTGATTTGGGAGGTTTATTGCATGGAAACCAATGATAGATCTAGAAACAACAAAAAGTTTAATTTTATGTGTTGTCTTACGTTTATATCCGGTACTCCAGTTCAATTATGTTGAAGGAAATTGGACACCCCAAACTAAACAATATTTGCATGGATCACGCTGTTTGTGTTTTGATGTTTGACTGTAATTAAAAATTAAAATTAACAGTGTAGAGATTCAAGCTGTGAGTGGTTATTTCACCACGTAAAGAAAACGTTAGTTTGGTGAAAGGGGAAATTCTCATGAACCATGAACACAGTTTTGGCCAACTTGATGTGAACAAGCTACTAATTAGGAATCATTTGCTGACATAGTGACTTCTAAATATACCATATCCAAGAACTCTAGAAAAACTCTCTGTTGATTACCTTTAGTTACATGAACCTCTCAAATTATGATTAGGTTCAATGAGGTTTATTTTTCTGAGTGTAAAACAATGATTCGGTTCAATGAGGTACACTCAAGGTTTAGAAGTCTGATGTATTTATTCAGAGGTATGTACTGGGTCCTGCGGACTTGTCCATGCTTTTAAATAGTGATTCACAACAGGGTTGGATTGTAATCAAATTGTAAAAGCCGAAAACTAGACTTAGTTATTGGACAAAAGCATTCTTCTCCAAATTTACAGTATGAATTGCTGGCAAGCTGTGTTGCAAAGCCCATTGTTCTTTCCCTTGTGGTTTGAAAATCTTGAATTCATAATCAGGTGAATACGTGGGTGAGGTTAGAGAAAGTTGTGAGATTTTGTGTATATTTGTCGACCATTATCAGAAACAGAAATTGGCAGAGGAATAATATTACCATGATTCACTAACTATATTATATAACTAGTTAAGCATCATTGTTTAATGTTAAGTCATTAATTTAGTTTGTATAAAAAAATATCAATTCCTCTTCCTTTTGATTATTTCTATTTTCTGCTTTTCTTCTGCCTTTCTTAATCATGGTTAGTTTCAATAAAGAAGAGACTAAGTTTGACATACCCTAATACTAGTAAGAACATGAAAATCTTATTAGTTTCCCTTTCATTAAAAAAACAATTAGACTTATCAATAACGAACCAGGCAGGTGCAGACTGTTGATCCCTTCTTACAAAAATCTGAACGATGTGTAAGTTCTCTGTCCAAAAAAAGCATCTATTATGTCGTGGTCCCAAGTAATACCAAGACTCTATGATATAAGACACCAGGTTTTGGGTAAAGCATTTTCTCATTTGAATAAAGCAATAAATAATAACCGACCAATTAACTATTTTCTTATGACAAAATTAACTATATATTTTTCAAGAAAAAGGCTCAATCAATCGAAAAGAAATTGAATAATAAAAGAAAATCTAAATTTAAGAAAACTAAAAATATAATTAACTGAAAAAAGACAGAAATAGAATACAATTATAAATTTAAAAGTTCTATGTTTTAATTCAAATTTAAGTCAACGCTATTACAATTTCTAATTAGTTTGCAATATAAAAATATGTTCCTTATTATTGCACATAAATTAAGCTCTAAATCAAACAGTACTAACATCTTTTCTTAAATTAAAGATATTTACTAGAGATTTTAAATACTTTGAATAATTTCTATTTTAAACCATGTAAATAACTCTTCAATAAATTATTATTTTTAATTCTATTTAGATACAAAACTTACAGAATATGACATTTAGTCTACCATCGACACACTTAAGAATAGAGCAAGAAATTAAAAACATATAATCCTAATTAGTTTGTGACCTAAAAAACTATTTTTTCCTTTTATTACATTTTTTTTGTTCCAAATTTTCAATAAAAAGTTAGTATCGTCTTTGGTAGAAAAAAAATTTACAATTTAGAAATAAAAAAATCATTTGACGCCATTCTTCTAGCTTAATTAGAATATGATATTTCGTTTGTGATAACAGGAATGGTTGATAATGGACTAGGAGTAACATATTTTTTTTCCTCGCAGAATAATGGGCCGGTTCCAATTCATTGTGGTTTCTAATTGGGCTTCTTATTATATAAATGGGGTGTGGTGTTGCTCCCCGACACCACACCCACGGGGCGCCCGGGACCACCACAGGGGCGAAAAGCCAAAACGAGCGGGGAGATGTGGAAAAGAGCCGGACACCCCCCACCTCTGGTTCGGGCAACGGAGGGGCAACAGCCGGTGAAGAAAAAAATTCTGTGCAACGGATGGGGCCAAAGCCGGGGCTTGGGTGTGTTTGGAGTGGGGGGGAAGGGAGGGGAGGGGAAAGGAAGAGAGAAAGAGGAGGGAAGGGGGGAAAAGGAGGACGGAAGGAGGGAGAATAAGGAAGGGGAGGGGGAGAGAATGGAAAAGAAGGAGGGAGGAAGGGAAGGGAGGGAGGAGGAGGGGATTTTTATAGAAGAAGGAAAAAAGGGGGGGAGAAAGAAGGAGGAAACGGAGGGGCCACAGCCGGGGGAACGGAGGGACGACAGCCGGGGCAGGGGGGGGGGCGGGGGGGGGGGGGAGGGGTGGGGGGAAGGGGGGGAGGGGAAAGGAAAGGGAGAAAGTAGGAGGGAAGGAGGGGAAAAAGGTAGGAGGGAAGGAGGGAGAAGGGAGGGAGGGGAGGAAGGGAAAATAAGGAGGAGGAAAGGGAAGGGAGGAGGAGGAGGGAAAGACCAGAAGGAACAAAAGGTAAAATATATTAAAACGGATGTGCCACATCCGGTAACGGAGTTTGTGGCGACATCAGTTACCTTTTTGGTTTTTTGTTGGGATTTTTTATATTGTAAATGAGATATACCTGTTATTTAATTTTTAAAAAATTATTACTTAATTATTTATAAATTAATTTATTTATTTAATAAAATAATTTATTATTGATGTAATGTCTAATTATTATTAAATAATAAATAAAAGGTTTGTAAAAATTATGAAACGGATGTTAACATCTGGAAGGGATGAAAACGGATGTTGACATCCGTTTTATAGAAGGACAAATTAGGTATGGGGAGGTGCAGGGAGTGGTTGGTGGTGGTGGAGGGAGCAACTTCCTATAAATTGCCTTTTACAATAGGAATGACACTAAAGTGGGATGAACAATTACTATTATTATTTTTAAAGTCTAAATTCATGCATATTTATATTTTTATCTGATTATGGTATATCTGTGCTGTTTCTTTACTATTTAAATTATCATTCAAATAACTTTTTACAACAAAATTAAAATCACAACAAACAAAAGATGTTATTATTTATGATTCAATTTTATAATGAGAAACATTTAAAATTTTATATTGTTGAATCCTTGAAATTAATAGTCAACTATTTTTATATGATGAAAAAATAATCAATAAGTACATATGTTAAAAAGGTATAGAAACCATTAAATGTGTGACCAAATGCAATACTTCATTTAAAGAAAACTAAAAGAAAAAATGTATAATAAAAATTGTAACAAGTGAAAAAACATTTTAAATATTAAGATATAGTTTGTAAATATTAAATAAATCCAACAACAATAAATAATAGAAAAATTATATAAGAAAAAGAAAGAAATAAACATCTTTAAATAAAATAAGTTTTTATTATTATTTAATAAATTACGAGTCTTTTACTAATTAAATTTTTTTATATATAAGAAGTTGAATAAAATAGGTTTAATGTCTCAATAGGTCCCTATTTTTGTTCAGAATTTGAAATAGGTCCCTTTATTTTTTGAACGTCTAAATTGGGTCCTTATTTTTGTTAATTTGATGCCAAATAAATCCTTCCGTCAATTTCATCAAACGGCGGTGTTAATGAATGTGTGACGTGGCCTTAACCGTTGTTCAATACGTCCTCAGGCCACGTCACACATTCTTAACGCTGTTTGATGAAATTGACGGAAAGGATGTATTTGAATCCAATTAACAAAAATATGGACCCAAGTGAGCGCCAAAAAATAAAGGGACCTATTTCAAATTCTGAACAAAAATAGGGACCTATTGAGACATTAAACCA